ATATATCTATATTTATAATAAAGTCCTATTGTGTAATTCTTTGTGGTAGTTTATATTCATATAGTATAGAAGTTTATAATATATCAACGGATAATGATTGGTAAACCCTCCAGTTCATCACATTTAACAACATTTATTGATTCAGTTATTACAAAACTAATATTTTTCAAATTTGAATTTAAGGTGGAAAAATTTTCAAATGAAAATTTTAATAACTGAATCGATAAGTGTTGTTAGATGTGTTGAACCGAAAAGTATATTAATCATTTTTTTATATCAACCCTAATATATCATCTAATTTATCATTTAAACTTTATTATCTGTCAGAAAAATTAACTCATACAACCTACCATACGCTGGATACCTAATAATATAGTGAAAACATTATTTTGCTTTACTTTTAACTTGGAAAAAGTTGTCCGATTACATGTTAAATGCAATTTCCACATGACAGTAAGGGAAATTGTTGAAACAAGCGTTCAAGGGCGAGTGCCCTTAGCACTCCTCATGTCGCACTTTTACCTTTACACCATTTTAAATAAATGAGTTTTTAAAAACATTGTTTTCATCAACTTCTCATTCACAGATGGGCAAAAGCGTAACAAAACAATATTTAGAATGAGATTTTCATTATAGGGTATGATGATAATACTATTCCAATTTAATTAGCAATTTGGCATGCCTAAAAATGAGCTGGACGATCAAAAAAAAAAAAAAATCAATATTGAATGGGCTGGTCTTTAGTGAAAGTTCTTTGGGCCACTTTTTCAGTGGTGATGAAATACGAATGTGGCATGCCTATGATTATAGCTTAACTAGAAATTGACCTAATTCCCCGAGTCTAGACTTTTATTTATAACATAGAAATCTTCATGAAAAATATGAGTTCAGCCAACAAGCCATGATGGGCACAAACATAACTTTTGCTGGGACTTTATTCTTCATGATGATGCAACAAGAAAAGCTATAAAAAGAAGTTAATAAACTAAATCATTATTTGAGATAGGCTTTGTCCTTACAGCATTTGATAGCATCATCCAACATTTCCTCAACGCTGTACTTGAATTTGAAGCCACTCTCCAACAGTTTCTTTGATGACAAGCCAGGTGCTTTGAAACTTTGAACTTTTGCCAAGGAACTACAAAGCCAAATGGAACATTTTTGCCTTTCAAATTTTAACAAAAAGCATGAGTTCTAATACAAGGGAAAAAGGACAGCACTCACTCGGGTGAAGGTATTGCGAATTCTGGATATTTGGCAGAAAAAAATATTTGAGACAATTCCTCGAATGTTATTGTATGGGAGGAACACATGTACCTTCTAGACACTGTGGCATTAGGATACTCAAGTAGGAAAATTTGTGCCATGGCTACATCATCAACATGCACCATCGATGCATTCAATAGTTTCATATATTCTTCACTTTTCTCTGTGAAGGAATGTCATGGATAAAAACAAAATTAGCTAGAGCTAGCTTTTCTATATATATAATAAGACAGTAGTAAGTGATCATCTAATATATACATACCAAAGACTAGAGTTAATGCCGTAGACACAGACTATGGCAGCTTGGGACAAATGAAAGGACCCCCAACAATGGAAGGAATTAAGGTGACTAGATCCAATCCATTTTTCGGTGCAAATTCAAGAGCAGCCTTCTTTGTTAATGTTTTGGAAATCGGGTAGGAACCTCCAGAAGGTTTAAATTTTCTAATGAAATCTACATCACTCCAGAAGCTTTCATCCATCACCACCACTTTATTCCAGTAATTGTTAACAAAGATGGCAGATGCACTAGAAGTGTAAACCACTCGTTTCACTGTCTTTGCTTTCAAGCATGCCTTTAAGATTCCCAGTGTTTCATTGATTGTCTTATTGGCAACCATTTCTGGAGGTTCCTCATCTTTGAGTCCATGGGAGTAGCCAAATGAAAGACTCCTCAACATCCTTCAATGGCTACATCAAAACTGTTTGGATTTTCAAGATTAGCGTTGAAGATTTTTAGTCTTTCGGTTGCTCCAGGCAATTGTGTGAGGAAGCTAATGTCTCTCTTTTGCTCTGTAGCTCATAATTGAGATAGAAGATCAAACAGTTAATAAGCATTTATATCTTTTCAAGTAGTTGAATAATAAAATGAGCTTGTAATCAAAGTACCTACTACGCGAGTTCTAATGGTGGTATGGACAGAGTAACCCTGTTGAAGAAGCTTCATGATCAACCATGGTGCAATGAAGCTAGTACCACCCGTCACACACACCTTTCCTTTCTCTCTTTTCATCTTTAATTCCTAATTCCTTGGTAAGGATGACCACTAAGAAATTTTTGTTTAGCGCTAAATATAGAGTCTTAGAGATAGAAGGAGAAATATTTGAAGAAAGATTCATTGCTTTCTTATTTTCATTGTATAAATAAAGGTTCTATATATAGATTTGTACAATAGAATATTCCTTGGTATAAAACTATACAGTAAAATATTCTTAGGTATAAAACCAATTAGCTTAAATGTATATAATCATTACAATGTGAACATAATATTCTAATGTAAATACTAATAAATGCTAATATTGTAACATTCCCCAGTGATACAAACTACACCAACCTGTGATGAGACCCGTAAACAAGACAAGGAACCAAGATCGTTTCTAAAACAAGTTCGAGAGGATAGAACTGCAACTCGTTACCTATGATGAGGTAAGAACCTTGGTATGGAGAAGACGCCACAATCAACTATGGAAGGGTTGATTGATAAGTTGAGGATGAATGCCACGAATAATTCCGATAAGTTTGAAAAGTTGTTCAAAGAACCAGAGAGAATTCATTGTCCCAATGTTGATGAATAATTGTTCGTTCCACAATTAGGGTTACAGCCCTATAAATAGCTAAAACTAATCCTAACTAGAATAGGAAACTAGCAAACCAAGTCCTAACCCTAATAGCCATGAATTTGGGCTTCAACTAAATGAATGTTTAGCCCAAATAACACAAAAAAACGTAAACATAACCTAAAATAACCTAAAACATTGTGAAATATCAGTTTGCGGCCAACTATGACAGATTTGATGGAAACCATGTAATTCAACCCAAGAAAGGAAAACTTGGCATGTAAGCTAAAACCCGAAAAGGAAAGTAATGAATTTGAGCCAAAATGCTTGCTGAATTCATGCCCAAAGTTCATGACCATTACTTGCAAAGATTAGGCTTGGCTTTGACAAAGTCTTCTAGAACTTGGATTAGACTGATACAATTCTGAGGCTCACATGGACTTCTCTCAATGGGCCTCCACGAATTTGCTTGAGTCCATATTTCTTGAATCAGCCCATTAAGCGCTTCTTTAAACTTGTTAGCTTGAGTCCTCGTAACTGGTCCAATAGGAACTTGAATTGAATCCTTTCAAGTCAAACCTGGATTTACATCATTCCCCTTCTCTTGAAAAGATTTGTCCTCAAATCGTCTATTGCATCAAAAGGACTCAAATCAGTAACATTGAAAGTGGTGGCACTAACATTGTACTCACCTGGTAAATCTAGCTTGTAAGCATTATCGTTGATGTGCTCTAGGACTTGGAAAGGGCCATCTCCTCTTGGAAGCAATTTGGAACGCCTTTGTGCTAGGAATCTTTCTTTCTTATGTGCAACCAAACCCAATCTCCAGGTTTGAAGACTAGCTTAAAATGGCCCTTGTTGGCTTGCCTTGCATATTGCTCTGTTCTTCACTCAATGTTGAGTCTTGCCTTCTTGTGAATATACCTCACAAAATTAGCTATCTTTTTGCCATCTAAATTAACACGCTCAGACATTGGTAAATGAGATAAATCCATTAGAGTTAACGGATTAAACCTGTGCACAATTTCAAAGGGTGAAAATGGACTAGCAGAATGAATAGTACGATTGTAAGCAAATTCAACATGTGGCAAATAATCTTCCCAAGTGTTAATGTTCTTACTAATGATAGCCCTCAACATAGTTGACAAAATCCTATTTACTACTTCGATTTGACCATCAGTTTGTGGGTGACATGTGGTAGAAAACAATAGTTTAGTACCTAACTTACTCCAGAGAGTCTTCCAAAAGTAGCTCAAAACTTAGCATCTCTATCTGAAACAATTGTTTTAGGCATACCATGTAATCTCACAATTGCCCTAAAGAATAAATCAACAATATGTGAAGCATCATTCGTTTGATGACATGGGATAAAATGTGCCATCTTAGGGAACATATCCACAACCACAAAAATTGAATCTTTTCCATGCCTAGTCTTAGGCAAACCTAACACAAAGTCCATGGAAATATCAATCTAAGGTTCACTGGGAATAGGTAGTAGCATATACAAACCATGGGGTTGCACTCGAGATTTTGCTTGCTTTCACATGACACATCTACCACAAATCCTCTGAACATCTCTTTTCATGTGTGGCCAAAAAAAGTGTTCCTACAAAATATCTAAGGTTTTAGCAACTCCAAAATGTCCCATTAACCCTTCGCTGTGGGATTCCCTAACTAGCAACTCATGTAAAGAACAATTCAGCACACATAACTTATTTTCTCGAAACAAGAAACCATCATGCTTATAAAACTTACCTGTTGCATTTTTTTTCACAAGCTTGAAACTCCTCACAAAAATCTTGGTTTAAAGGATATAATTTTTTAATGTGCTCAAAACCAAATAATTTTGCATCAAGGGTAGAGATTAATGCATATCTACGAGAAAGTGCATCAGCAACCACATTCTCCTTACCTTGCTTATACCGCATGACGTCTGAAAATGTCTTGATGAACTCCATCCATCGTGCATGCCTCTTGTTCAACTTGTGTTGACCTTTCAAGTGCTTTAATGATTCATGATCAGTGTGTATCACAAACTCTTTGGGCCAAAGATAGTGCTGCTATGTTTTTAATGCCTGAAACAATGCGTACAACTCCTTGTCATAAGTTGGCTAGTTTAGAGCTGCCCCACTTAGCTTTTCACTAAAATACACAGTCAGTCGACCTTCTTTCATGATTATTGCACTAATACCTACACCTAAAGCATCACATTCAATCTCAAACGTTTTATCAAAAGTAGGTAAAGACAATAATGGAGCGTTAGTCAATTTTTACTTAATTAGCTGAATCGCCTTTTCTTGCTCTTCGCCTCACTTGAATCCAATGTTCTTCTTGATTACCTCGGTGAGGAGTGCTGCCAAAGTGCTAAAGTCCTTCACAAACCTTTGATAGAAACTAGCAAGTCCATGAAGGCTCCATACTTCACCTATACTTATAGGACTTGGCCATTCTTGAATTGGTCGAACTTTTTCTTCATCAACTTGTATTCCTTGTGCTCTAACAACAAAACCAAGAAATACAAGCCTATCGGTGCAAAAAGTGCATTTCTTTAAGTTAGCAAATAACTTTTTCTTTCTAAGCACATCCAAAATTGATTTTAAATGCACAACATGTTCTTCCAAGTTTTTGCTATAAATGAGAATGTCATCAAGATAAACAACAACAAACCTGCCTATGAATGCACACAAAATATGATTAATCAATCGCATAAATGTGCTTGGTGCATCAGTTAAACCAAAAGGCATGACTAACCACTCATACAATCCATGTTTTGTCTTAAAGGTTGTTTTCCATTCATCTCCAATTTTCATGCGAATTTGATGATACCTGCTTTTCAAATCAATTTTCAAAAATACACAAGCACCATGCAACTCATTTAACATGTCATCTAAGCGAGGAATAGGATATCGATACTTTATCGTAATGTTGTTGATGGCTCAGCAATCAACGCACATCCTCCAAGTCCCATCCTTCTTATGTATAAGTAGAACAGGAACATCACATGGGCTCATGCTTTCCCTCATGTACTTCTTCTCCATTAATTCACTTACCTGCCTTTGAAGCTCCATTGTCTCCTTGGGGTTGCTCCTATAGGCCAGTCGATTTGGAATTGTGGCACCAAGTACAAAATCAATTTGATGTTCAATCCCTCGTATTGGAGGTAATCCAAGTGGCATTTCTTTGGGAAATACATTCTCGTAATCTTGCAAAAGAGAAATAACACTACTTGCAAATTTTCAGCAAGATCATCACTACACAAAAAAGTCTCTTTGTATAGAAGTATTATAAAGGACTGTTATAAATATAAAGTTCCCTTTATCTCACTTTTTTTTGCAATGAAACAATGTTGTTCCTCTCTTAAACTCACTAAAGCTAAATCTAATTTCTTTTTTTCTCTCTCAATTTTGTTGGCCTCTCTCTCTTTTTCTCTCGAATTTCCACTTCTATCTTTTCTCTCACTCTCATTTTTTCGCTTGTTCTCTTTTTTTTTTTATGTCTCTCTTTTTTAAGCTTCACTTGATCCTCATACACCTGTTGTGGTGTCAAAGGTACAAGAGTGATTGGATATTGATTGAGTATAAAAGAGTATTTGTCTGTAAATCGATCATGCTTAACTCGTTAATCGAATTGCCATGGTCGCCCTAACAACAAATGCCTAGCATACATTGGAACGACATCGCAAAGTACCTCATCTTCGTATTTTTCAATCCAAAATGCAACTAACACCTGTTTGTTTACCTTTACCTCGCCACTATCATTCAACCATTGCAACTTTTACGAACTACGGTGTCTCAGTGTCAACAATCCTAATTTTTCCACCATGGTTGTGCTAGCAATGTTAGTACAACTACCACCATCAATAATCACATTGCATACCTTATCTTTGATATAGCACCTAGTGTGAAAGATGTTCTCTTGTTGCACTTAATCCACGTCCTTTGCCTGCACACTTAAAGCCCTCATCGCCACCAACAAATCTCCATGTATCGCAAACTCTTACTCAAAGGCATCCTCCAATGGTGGCATTTCATCGGTGTCAAAATCTTCATCTTCGGTCACAATTTCACCATTGTCTTGCATCACCATAACTCGCTTGTTTGGACATTGACTCACTATGTGACCCCTACGTTGACATTTAAAGCACTTAATAGCATAATTTCGAGTAGTAGAAGTGTCAGTTTTACCATGAGAATCGCAGCTGGTGTTCTCAATCTTATGCTCATATTGGTGCTTGAGAGTTGAGGATGATTGTGGCTTGTCCTCCTTTCTAGAAGAACTTGGTTTCCAAGGATTAGACCTTGGGTTATGGCCAGCACGTGTATCTCCCCTCCTCTTGAGCTGTCACTCTACGATGATGGCCATGTGCACCATGTCTTCTAGCTCCACATAATGTTGCATCTCCATCCGATCATGGATGTCTAGATTCAATCCTTGCAAGAATCTCGCCATGGTTGCCCCTCGGTCTTCTTCTACATTAGTTTTAATCATGGCTTTCTCCATCTCTTGATAATACTCTTCCACACTTCGATGTCCTTGCCTAAGCCCTTGCAAGTTTTATACAATTCTCGGTAATAATGGCTGGGCACAAGTCGCTTCCTCATCACTGCCTTCATCTCTTCTTATGTTTCAATTTGATGCTCCCGGTTTCGACGCCTATTCATCACTAACTGATCCCACCAAATAAGAGCATAGTTGGAAAATTCAATGGTTGTCAGTCTCATCTTCTTAAGCTCATAATAATTGTGGCAATCAAAGATTAACTCCACTTTCTTTTCCCACTCAAGCTAGGCTTCCGGATCTGCTTTTCCTTGGAATGGAAGAATCTTTATCTTGATGCTACCCAAACTATTATCCTCTCGATTTCTAACTTCTCTATTCCCACTCCCATGCTTAAACCTACCCCAGTTCAATGGTGGCTCATTCAACTCTTCCAACTCTTCTTCTTCTTCCATGTCACCCCAATGTTCTCTTTGCTACATTTGCCTAGGTAGGGGTTGAGTGGGAGAATTTCATTGCTGCCTCCTATTCTCCAATTGCAACGTTTCCAATTGCTCTTGCATGGGTTCAATTAACCTATTCACCATCCATCGCACCTCTCCCAATATCGTCTACACCTATAGGTTTGGAAGGGTTTGTTGTGGAAGTTCTTCACTCGAGTTTTCTTCTTGGTTGCATGAATGCTTGTAATCTGCAAAATGGGGTTAGAAACAATATGGAAAGGACCTCACCACACTCTCTCACATGTTTCGCTAAAAAAAATGTATCACTCAATTTCGCCTGTATTTCACTGAATTGGCTTTTACCTTCTAATATACTCACCACTCTTGCCTTTTTCTACTCATGAATTCTCTTTCAATTCTTTTCAAACTAAAAAAAAACAATATTCAAAATTCCCAGTAGCAATTCACTAGAAACTTACCAACCAAAATTCGAGTTTTAAAAGGATGATTACAATGAACACGTATTGACCAGATTTTGGAATTACACGAAAATTTTGGACAAAAATTTTGCACTTTGGGGTAAAGTCCAATTAGGACTCCTATATATTAGAGCAATGGAAGGAAACAATAAAAAGAAAGACAGACAGACTAGTTTGACTATTCCTAATAGAAATTGGATTGGCGAATCTTTAACACAGTAGGATTCCTAACTTAAAAGAAGAAACAAACAAAACTGCTATCTCCTAATTTGACCAGAATTCAAACAAATCTCAAACTTCTTATTTGACCAAAATTCAAAGACAATCTCTACTCCTTATTGTAGTAGGATTCCTTTCTTTTTAAGGATTTGGCCACTGATTTCAATTCTATATAAGAAGTTCAACCACAAACTTCTTGTCTCTCTGACTCACCCTTTTTTTTTCCTTTTTTTGTGCGTCTTCTTCTCTCTTTTTTTTTTTTTTTTTGACTTCTCTCTCTTCTTCTTTTTTTTTACTATTGTGCTCTTTTTTTTCGAAAACCAACAACACAAATGCAAAAAATCAAGACAAGCTGAGTTTTGGACAACAAAGGAAAGAACGAAACTGACTCTTTTTTTTTTTTTTTTAAGAGAAGAAATTGAAAGATTAAAGATACACAAACCCAATTTAGAGTCTGTGCTCTAATACCAAACTAATATGAACTATGCCAACCTGTGATGAAACCCGTAAACAAGACAAGGCACCAAGACCGTTTCTAAGACAAGTTCGAGAGGATGGAACTGCGACCTGTTACCTATGACGAGGTAAGAACCTTAGTATGGAGAAGACGCCACAATCAACTATGGATGGATTGATTGATAAGTCAAGGATGAATGCCACAGATAATTTCGATAAATTTGAAAAGTTGTTCAAAGAACCAGAGAGAATTCGTTCTCCCAATGTTGGTGAATAATCGTATGTTCTACAATTAGGGTTACAGCTAGCTAAAACTAATCCTAACTAGAATAGGAAACTAACAAATCAGGTCCTAACCCTAATAACCATGAATTTGGGCTTCAACTAAATGATTATTTAGCCCAAATAACACCAAAAAAGGTAAAAATAACCTAAAATAACCTAAAACATTGTGAAATGTTAGTTTGCGGCCAACTGCTACAGATTTAACACAAACTATGTAATTCAACCTAAGAAAGAAAAACTTGGCATGCAAACCAAAACCCAAAAAGGAAAGTAATGAATTTGAGCCAAAATGCTTGCTGAATTCACACCCAAAGTTCATGACCATTACTTGCAAAGATTAGGCTTGGCTTTGACAGAGTCTTCTAGAACTTGGATTAGGCCGATGCAATTCTGAGGCAATTTTGAGGCTCACATGGACTTCTCTTAATGGGCCTCCACGAATTTGCTTGAGTCCATATTTCTCGAATCAACCCGTTAAGCGCTTCCTTAAACTTCTTAACTCGAGCCCTCGTAACTGGTTCAACGGGAACTTGAATTTAATCCTTTAAAGTCGAACCAATATTTACATCACCTAGTAAACTCAAGGTGGTGGTGAGAAAACCAACTTGAGTTTGGAAAGAAGAGTTTGAAAGCATTCAGGGAAATGAACCTTGGTAAACAAATCTACAGGTTGATTAGTAAAACTAATAAACATCAAACGAATAGTTCCCTTTACAACATGATAACGGATAAAGTGACAATCATCCTTGATCTACTTTGTCTGTGTTCATGGAAGAAATCATTTTATACTGTTTGAATGGACATCCACTAAGAGGTGTGTCTTTATAGAAAAACACTAGCTAAATGAATATGTCCCTACAGAAAGACACCATTCTAGAAAGGTGCCTTTTGTTGGCAAAAATTGTGTCTGAAATTTTAAACATATTTGTCTAATTTCCAAAAATAAGAAATAAAAAAAAATTCAAAATTCAAAAAAAAAAACAAAATGACAGGTCAAACCCCAAGATGCCCTATGTATAAGGGGCAAGGCCTAAACCTAAAACTTGTAAGTCTTGAGTTCTAACTTTCTATAATTATTTATGAACGGATGGTAAATATATGAAATCCTTTATTTTCTTATTCTTCCCAGATATAAGACTTTTAGTTTTCAAATTATTCAACAACGTCGCCATTCCGGGCACCGGCGGAATTTTGAAATCCCAAAGGTATCCTCACTGGTTTTCCAGAATAACCCAACGGGCCATCCCAAGCTCCCCAGGCTCGCGTCAAAAATGCCGCATCCCGCATGCTTCATGGCTCGAAATTCATACATCCACATCGAATTACAAGCCGTTCACTGTTACTCTAATAGGAGTAAAAGGGAAAGAAGACTCAGAGAGTCACAGCACAACCTACTCTAATATATGTTAGATGAGTAAACCGCTCATTGCTAAAAGGGAAAGAAGATTAAGGGTATCACGTCACAACCTACTCTAATATGTAAGATGACTAGAGATTAACTTATTGAATTACATTAATTATTAAAATTTTAAAATAAATGACTAAAAATTAATATAAAACTTATATTGTTACAAGTCGATTCTAACTTACATTAATTTTTTTTCTCATTAATCTTGAAAAATTTTGGATTAACTAACAAGATCTAAAACTATTTTAGAAATCTCCTTTGCTAATCAAAATCACTTCAAAGAGCCACAAGAATAAAAAAAAAAATTTCTTCTTAATTTTTACAAGGAATATGTGGAGAGATATTTCATAAGAATTCACTAAAATATCTTTTTTTTAATAAAAATTTGAATTATACAATAAAAAATGTATATCTCATGTCCCTTTATTCATCTCATATGCATACTTATGACTTAAATTAGAACACTTTATTTTCATTGGATGAAAGAAATTTACTATTGAATCACATAAATCACTTAAATTATTTTAACCACTTGAATATTTTATTAATGCATGAAATACCAAAAAAAAAAAGTACATGAAATTGAACGACAATAAAGAAAGCCTCTTGGTCAAGCCAAAGGCTAATTATCTGATATTATTCACTTCCAGTTTGAAATATATATATGTGGGTG